AGAGAGTGAATATGATGATGATACAGTTGATAATAAAATAGTTGTATCACAGTTAAAGTGTGATGGAACAGAGAATCATCTCTCTGACTGCTACATTCGTCATGCTCACATATGTCATGGAGGAAAACCTGTCTATTTGGAGTGCAATTATTAAAATAAATTTGAATATACAGAACAATAATATTTTAGTTGTATAATTTATTGGTTTCTATAGTGTTTTGATTAGTTTTTCTTTATCATCAGTTTAGTATATTTATATTGGCAAGAGTAGCTCTAATTATAATATGACAAAATTTAATTTCCTACAACTCAAGTGTCACAAGTATATTTATTTAAGTGTTATTCATAACAAAACAGAGTTTATATTGTACAACTTGTTAGAGAAGGTATACTGAATGAATCATGAAAGGAGAAATTGCTGTAATTCTCTTTTTGACTTTAACTGTCTTTGGTCGCCAGATACCATCAGTTGGTGAGTATATTATATAAAATAACTGTTTGAGTCAATGGATAATAGTTGACCAGGATGCAGTAGACACTGAAGAGTGTGCTAATAGAGAGATAATAAAAGGTATGCATACATGCATCACACACCATCATTAGTAATTTTATTATTACTAGCTCCTGATGAGGTTGATGATCCAGTGGTGATTGATGGTGATATATTAGTGAGTAAAGAACAAGCAGCAATATACTATGAGAGTGGCTGGGATGGACTAGTAAATTCTGAAGCATGGGATAAAAAAACATACAGATGGTATACAAGGATACCATATCAGATTTCAAAGTCAATAGCTGATTCAACAGATTTACAAATGACTGCCATTAAAGACAACATCAAGAGCTCAATGGATGAAATTCAAAAAAAAACTTGTGTAACGTTTGAGCCTGCTGGTTGCACTGACTTTGCATACCTTTACATTGACAAAGGAGACGAGTAAGCAACACAAAGAATACCATATGAACTATTAAGATCAGGTGCTATACTTATGTAGGGGCTCCACTCATTGGAGCAAGGACAATATACCTTGCATATAGCTGTGCAGGCTATACTCATAGGGCAAGGACACCAGCACATGAGATAATGCACACAATGGGCAGGTATCATGAACAAACACGATCTGATAGAAACACTTATGTTACAATTAAAAATGACAATACTTGTGAGTTTCCTTATATCAAGATACCTTGATATATGTACATATACAGGCCCTAATCAAATGGCTAAGAATGATAATGCAGACACTCTCAAGATTGCGTATGATTACAACTCTGTGATGCATTATAGTCGATGGCAATGTGCAGCAAAATATCCTGGCAATCCATCAATGAGCTTCCCTC